GTGGTACTCGCGTATGAGCCCGCCAAAATTTTTTCCGGGCAAGTTCATAACTCAGGGATCTGAGAAGCTAGAAGGCTGAAATCTTGTAGTAAAATTCCCCGCCCAAGCGGGTATTAGTGGGCTCAAACCCAGCCCGCGGGTAAGCGTGGTATCCACATACGGTCCCGCCAAAATTTTCTCGTGTAAATTGATAACTCAAGTACCTGAGAAACTAAAGGAATGCAATTTTAAGAGGACATACTCCGTCCACCTAAGTTTCATTCAGCTCGAACCCAGCTCTCAGGTGTGCTTGGTAAACATGCACGGACCCGTGAAAATTTTGTTCCAGTAGGTTGCTAACTGAGGTGCCAGGGAAGCTAGAAAGTTGAAATTTTAAGGGGATTTTTTCCGACAGTTCTGGTGGCCAGTCTTAATTTGTTTAGCTAGATGCATTTGCCGAAAAAATCGGTGCCGGTAACAAAAACTGCGGGGAACCATGCAAAAAACGCATCTTCGCACGGGCAGCCCGTGCGTTGGCCAATATTTTTTCATCTCTCCAGGTCATTTCATTTTTTTATTCGTAATTTTCGAGACAGGATATTGGTCCGATTCCTCAGCGGCGCTGGATTCGAGCCTCGTATGCGCGATATCGCGGTATACCTTTGGGAATCCAGAGCAGCTATAAAGAACTCAAGCAAATAATGAAAGTGCGTAACGAAGGAATTCTACTCACAAAAATAAGCAAGTGGATCTGGAAATAAGTGCATTGAGAATTAGGGCGATGCAGAATACCGGCATGCCCAGGACAAATTGTTGTTACTGGACTTGTTAGAGGGATTCACGAATACGTCTACCTGAGACAAAACACGGGTATGCTTTTCAATCTGCAGTAAGTGATCGCACACTCAAGAGCTCCCATTTGGCGCAAACCTTGTGTTTTTGCTGTATTCTTTCGAATATAAAGTCAGAAAGTCTTGTCTCCCTCTTTTACCTTGCTAGAAGCTACGATTTATGGGTGCGACACCCAATTAGCGATAAATGCAAAAGCGCGAACACTGGCTGCAACGATATAACAATAGATCGAATGATGCTTGAAATATGCAGCCGTAAAGGATATGAGTGACTTTCGGAATGAATAACTTCCTCGAAATGCACGACCGCAATAGAGTAAATTTTGGAAAGAAAAATGTGGTTATTTAGCGTCCAACTGATCCAGTAGCACCAGCAAGAAAAAATGTGATCACTCAGACAAAAGGCAGTACGCCAACCAAAGTGGTAAAAACAGCGAGTTCTAGCTGGAATATGCAACCTGGCACAGCTGTGTTGGGCGCACTTCAACAACGAAGAACTGTATAGACATTCCCGACAATATTGGCAATCCGAGTTTTATCAGAGATGAATTTTTATTGAAATTTTAAACAATAACCGAGAAAATACTTTCCACTGCCTTCCAAAAGAAAAACTGTGAAAATCACAATGCTTCCACCAAAAGGCCCTGATTGCATAAGAACCCAACAGAGTGCTATTAACACCACAATTCAAAAAATTAGACATTATTTTTGGATTGTTCTTAATATCATAAATGATTCGACACAACTCGAGAACCATTGCCAACGAGCAGTTTAGTCTGATCCTTGTTGCGTGCCCATAGTTTGTCCGGCATCCACGTTCTAAGCGTCAGAGCGAAGTCGTCATCATAAAATTCCTTTACTTGCGATTTTGACTGCCGGAAAGTCGGCAAGAATTCTATCCCCGTTAGCAATTCAACATCTCTCAGCCGAACCAGATTAGTTGTTAAATAAACGCTCGGCTCCTGAAAGTAAATTTTTACACGTTTTTGCTAGTGCTCAGTGATAATGGTGACAAAACAAAAAACCGACTGAGCTGGTGCGAGTAATGAAGTAAGGTCAGACGCCTAAAAATTTCCGGTGGCATACAGCATCCATTAACAGAGAATTTCTCGAAGTGTATGGTACTTTGATGTACTGGAACACTCTGTTCATTTTCACAAATCCAGTTCTTTGGACCAATTTGACAGTATTATCGATTTTTACACGCCAAAACTCGCTATAGCAAATTTTGATCTATAAGGATCGGTACTGAAGGAGTTAAACCTTTTCTTCGTGAAATCAGAACAGAACGATGCCCTCTGTTCACTATACGATCATCTTCTACCAGATTATACAGATTCAACCTCCTAGCCAGAAACTGAGGATTTCTTTTTATTTGATTTAAAAAAAATAATCTCCAAGTCTTTTTGCCTCATGCGCTTCAATAAAATGTTTCCCTTAGTGATGAGTGAATTGAGCTTAAACATTTTCGTACTGACTTTAAAGAAAATCGCTTTGCAAGGGGAAAAAAAAGGAAGAAATTGAAGCAGAGGGGAAAAATAAATTCCCAGATTCCAGGTTGAGGAACGTTTTGCTTGCTGTGATTTTGATCACGCAGGATTATCATAAAAATGCGCGCTCCAATGGAATTCCTGCCTCTGCTGTGAACAAATCAACGCATGGATCGAAAAGACGGAGAGTGCGGGAAGAAAGTGGAGGAAGACGCAAATTCGCGTTTTTTCACTGTTTTATTTCTGCGATGATACACACACATTTAAAGTGTAGAGCCAATATCTTTTAGATTAATTTCAGGTTGTGTAGCTTTTTGCAAGTAGCCGTAACATATGTAGATTGAGCAAGCTAGATTCTGGACTTTAAAAAAACATAATTGCGCAGATGAACATCTGAGGTCCCAGTAATAAAAATGTGCGCCAGATCCAATCTTTAGGAAACCGTGCAAACCGACACAAACGCTGGATTCAAAACCACAAGGACAGTGATACTGAGCAATTACTAAACTCGGCTCAGCCGGATCCGCTACGCGATTTGCAGGCAATTTCTCCGGGTTTGTTTGCTCCACAAACGCAAGTGAGATGATGTTGGGGATGGTGAGGGCATGTGCGAGATTTCGGGCACGGGGTCAGAGGTACAGGGAAGGGGGTAACTGGTGTAAGAGGGTACATGGCGTGTTTACGTAGGAGGGAGCGGAGAGGGGGTGATGGGTGAAAAGAGGAAGGCACCCTGTTGCCGGTTTTTGCCGCGAACAGCGGGGCGCGGGAGGAGCTGGGGGACACATGAGCGGGGGAGGGGAGGAGTGGCAGTGCATAAGTACATTTTTTAATTGTGGAATTCGAAGCAAAAAGGAGGGGGTTGGGTGGGTGTAAAGAGGACTATGTATGCGGATTTCGCGCGCGGAGAACCGAGACAAGAGGAGGGAGTTAGGTGGGTGGACCGAGCAGATACATGGCACAGACTCTTTGGCAGTTGCCTAAGCCACGAGAAGGAGAGGGGGAGAGGGTGATGGCTAGAAAGGAGGAAAGCAAGAAAAAAGTGAAAACAAGATAGAAAATTAAAGCAAGTGAGAAGCCCGCCATCAATAGGGGGTATCCCCATCCATAAAGCTAATGCTTAGGTAAAGAAAGATGAAAGCGAATAAGGTGAAGCTGATGTTGAGAGCATCAGCGTCATAAATACGGAAGCTACTGGAAGCCATACCAGACTGTGTTATCTTACATTCCAAATCCTTATTTGCAAATCACATCGCATATTTGCACAGTCTTTTTGTTGAATAACAGTAGTCGCATTTTATCTTGCAAACAGCATTCGTTAATACTTATTGTCCTAAAGTCGGCAAGTGCATGTGTGCCGCTTGTAAACCTCACTTTTTTCCCCTCCCCTCTCCTCCCTCTC